AAATAAATCCAAGTGGGCATTTGTGAAACCCACAAACATTTCTGATTTTTATCTTTTAGAATGCCAGTGTCTGATGTAAATTTCTAAAACTGATGTTAAAACATTTTAAGCAACACAGTTTTATAAAATTATCAGCTGCTGAGCACAGTTTGGACCTAGTCCACACATGATAATGGCTTTATTTATTTAACAGCTAAATGCATTGTTTTAAAAGTTAACAAACTAGAAACAAATACAGTCACCTACATGACTACCATCCTCCTCCCGGTCACTTTATCCAGACGTAGGTTCCAGTGAGGATGAGGATGATGCACCAGCAGAAAATAAATGTCTGTTTCTGACACTTTACTGAATTTGTTTGTAGATGCTTTTTATTTTCTCTCAGTTTTTGTTCTCCTCCCTTACGTTTATTCTCCATTTTTGCTCTTCTTGTTTTTATTATTCGTTTTCTTCTTCTTACTTCTTCCAGTTCTTCAGCAAAATTTCTTCTTCTTCGGTCTTTGTTGGTGGTTGGTAAATGAATTGGTGCATTATTGCCATCTACTGGTATTGAGCGCAACTATACAACCTTTTTTTGCCTCGCTGCCTGCACCGGCCCACTGGGAAAAGTCCCAGTACTCCCAATGGCCAGTCCACCCCTGCCTTTGTGTAGAAATGAATAACAAACACAATGAGTGAATTTAGTCAGTGAGTTTTGATTGATCCATCAATAAATGTGACCATTTATTTACATAATCGAACAAAATCACTACAGTGCACTTAATTGTGAGCAATCAATTTCCTATAAAAGTTTTAAGAATCAATAACAATACTGATCGCATCCGAACTTAATTGTTCATCGATTCAGCACAAATAGACAGCAAATATCACTCTTAGATGCTGAATACCAGACATTTGAAGGCAAATAAAACTTAGTTTGGGTTGGCAAAGCAAGGGTTTAGGAGGTAAGATGTTAATCTTCCTTACTTATCTTAAACAAATGGAATGTGAGAACCAGAAGAGCGTGTCTCCCGCTCGACGTCATCCACACCAGCAACACCAAGTAAAACAGCCAACTTTACCTTGACGATGACCGTCGAGTCATGATCCAGGTAGTAGGGAGGTCTCTCGGTCAGTAAGAAAACCCGTCAGGATCGTCCACTCAGCTGCTGGACACTCCAGGCATGTTACCCTTTCAGCGCCGGCTCGGTCCACGTCAGTCGTAACGAGGAGGTCAGGCTCACTGGATCTCGATTCCAAAATAAAACTTGCCTCCCACAGGAAGTCAAGACAAAATTGCTTTGGAGCTTTTAAGCGCTGGTTTTAGGTCACACCGAGGAGTTGGTGTGTCCCGGCCGGGAAATTCGTCCTTTGGCTTATGGACGAACTTTTCAGCCAAACGCTGCTTCTCTGGGGAGAGAACAGTCGGTCAGTTGTGGACAGAATGAAGGTCCGTCTCTCTCTACTCTCCAGGCGGAAACTGTGTTAGTCATTTAAACAAGGACATAAACTGTCTTTTTGCCTACCACGAAGTGAAATAAATTGCTGTAAAAAGTTCATTGTTAAAAAACAAAGAATTAAACTTCCTAGAGTGTTCAAAAGTTATGGGCAAAACTGTTTTTTTGTTTTGTTTTGTTTCTTGATTTAACTTTGTTGTGAGCAAAATGTTACCAAAACAGCCCAGTGTATCTGATTTGATACACAAAATATATCATAAACAAAGTGATGTGGCAAAAATTATATTTTTTTATTTTTTTTGGATTTTGTTTAAACGCCCAATAAACACGTCAGTTCTAAAAAAATGGGAATTGTCTGACTATTTTTAAATGGTTAGGCTTTAAATGGTTAAGCTTTTTTGTTTCAGTCATTTTGTTTGCATTAAATCAAAAGATTTATCCTCATTAAATTGGCCATTAATCAAATCATGAGAATGCTGCAACAAACRGAATAATGTGTTTATTTCAGAATTTAATTATCTATTTTTTGTCTRCATTTGTTCAATCAGGTGATGAGTGGTACCTGTGCAGGCTGTCTCTGAGTATGCCCAGTCAGGCTGACCTGCAGTGGGCCATGTTTCCATCCCCTTACCTGGCCACCGTCAGTCCCGATGCCACTCCTGGATCTGTCGTWTATCGACTGTCAGCACGGCAACGTGACGGGACACTGGGCCAGGCCCATTTCCTCCAGCTGGATGGTGAGTTTTTTCATGTTCTATCCCTTTTTTGTCATTGTAATTATGTAAAAATCTGAAAATAAATGTACAGTTTTATTAAAATGCATATTATTAGCAGTGGATTAAATTCAGAGCAAAGTGCTGAATGTCCTCAAAAAAGGACAATTAAGATTTTATAAAGAACATTTTAGTCTTAACAACAAATGTAGTTAAAATGCATGAAATAGTCTATTAACATGCAAATTGATGTCAATCTACTTGCAAAAGACTTTTTTTTTCTTACCACAGTCAAGTCTTCTTTTTTCCAGTCAATTTTTCTCAAAAAAACCTGTCATGTCTTTGCTTTTATCTGCTGCCTGTATCTGTAATTAGGTTGGCTGCTGCTCTGCCAGGCTCTCTGTGACAAACCTGTTTAGCTCAAAGGACAGATTTATAAATAAAAATTGACTTGTTGGATTTCAATTACCGTCAAGAGGGAGAGGGGAGAAAATAACGCACATAAACACAGCGTGGAGCTGCACCGATAATCGCTCCCTGGGGCAGAGAAAGCTCCCAGATATGGGAATAATGGCAAAGTCTCTGGAGATGTAGTGAGTAGGAGAAGGGTGGGTGTATGGGTGCCGATGGCTGTTTTTTTTTTTTTTTTTCATTTATTTATCAGTTTTTCATGTTAAAAAAAGAGAAGGAATAAGAAGAAGGACTTTTATTTTTAGAACTAGCTTTAATACTCATATTAAAATCTTCAGACTTCCCTTTGGCATAATGTAAATATACATGAGAAATAATCCAATAATTTGTGTTAAAAGCTGTTTTTGTCATCTTGCCATAATGAATATAGTTGTGTATGTAAAGCTAATCAGTGTCAGTATTTAGATTTTACTTTGTTTCATCATAAATGTATAGTTTATCGTGGACTAGATGTTAAATTTAAAGARGTGTAAGAAAAAAATCCATTAGTTATATCAAAGTTTTACCATATTTTATTWAAGTGATTTTATTGTTCTTTAAATTGTTGGGAGCTGTTTGTGGACTGGTTTCACASTTTTATTCTACAGATGGACACGCATGTGCATAAAACACTTTACAGATTCAGATAACCCCCCTAAACTCACTGTCTTCGCTAGCTCGGGRCCCTCTGTTTTCCCCCACCCCTTATCCCAGGGGTCTGCAACCTGCGGCTCTGGGGCCACATGTGGCTCTTTGGTCCTTCTGCAGAGGCTCTTTGAAAATGTGACCAAACATAACAGAATATTTTTTTGTTGTTTTTATACCCACAACAGAAATCAATTTGTAAGCAAATACGTGATCAATACTACTAAAAAAGTAAAACATGTTAA